TTTGCCATTAATTATAAAAGTAGCCCTCGACATTTTATACAAATATTGTTATTAACGTCCCTGGTTTACGAGTCTCGTAAACTATTTAATTGCCGTCTATCCATAAAGAAATATAATAAAAAAAAACATTTTCAGTTAATTTTTGAGCTGGAAAAGAACGAACAATATCAGTTTTAAAGTTTTCATGATATTATTATTAATCCCTTTCCTCTTTTTAAAGAAATACCTTAAAACTTCACATTTTCACCATCTTCCCTCAACCCTTAACGCGGTTTCTTCACTGTCGCCACAACCGTGTGCAATTGAAAACTGAATCATCTCCTAACCAGAACTATCATCTCCATAACCAGATCACCACCAAAACTAAAACCCAACATCCAAACTCAATCAAGCCATCATCACCCTTCATCCATTTATCTCTCTGTCCTTGATTAGAGGATTTAGGGTAGTTTGATCATTCTATTAAAAATTAACAGCAAAAAGTGTGTTTTTTGGACGGAATGACCAAATAATATGACGGAAGTAACTTCAGGGACGTTATAAATATTTGTACAAATGGCGGGGATTACTTAAATAATTATGGCAAACCTCAGCGATGAAATAATTATTTTCCCTTTTAGTTTTGTTGGTGATATGGTTATGGAGATACTTAACAGAGACACGGTGGCGGCAATGAAGACCGCGTTGGGTTGAGGAAGATGGTGAAAATTTGAGTTTTAGGTATTTTAGAGGAAAGGGATTGACAATTAAATGTCAATGAAAACTTATAAAGGATAATTTTCGTACTTTTTCCACTCAAAATTAAACGGAAAGAGTGTATTTTTTTATGGAAGGACCAATTAATATGACCAATTAATATGACGGAAGTAAACCTCAGGGACGTTATAAATATTTGTATAAATGTCGGGGACTACTTAATAATTATGGCAAACCTCATGGATGAAATAATTATTTTTCCAAAGGATAATTACGTCTTTTTCTCTCAAAATTAATGAAAAAAATGTATTTTTTTTACGGAAGGACTGATTAATATGACGGTGGCAAATCTCAAGGATGTTATAAATATATGTATAAATGTCGATGACTACTTAAATAATTATGACAAACTTCATGGACGAAATAATAATTTTCCCCCTTAAATTCCACTAACAACATATATAGTTAAACAATGATGGTGCTTTTAGGTTAAATAACCAAACTTTTATGCCTTTAAGCATATCTACATATAACAAATTTATACATATATATTATCATCTAATTATATTTATTCACATAAAGGCAAATTTCTTATATAACTAGGTCCATACATATAATCATTTCTTACACAATTTACAAATACAAGAATATATACAAATAAGAATATATTAAAATTTATAAAATAAAAAAAATATAATAAAATAATTATATATAATTTAAAATAATTAAATATATATACCAAGAAATAGGGAGAGAAATAGGGGAAAAGGCGAATGACTAGGAATCTGTATCGGGCTTTGAAGCGCCGAAAAGAAGGCTCAAAGAGGGGCTCATAACTACTAGGCCTCACCTCAGCAATAAAGACCCTGTTTCTGAAGAGCGAGCTGCTAGCCGATCAAGCGGAACTCCCTCCGCTTCCCCCTTCCCAAGCTAGTAATAAGAAATATGCTGCCATCAACTCGTCGTCCTTATATATATATATATATATATATATATATATATAATATATATACACATTATACACACACATACGCACACTACAAAATCCTTCAATTAAGCAAATTATAAATTCCTCATATCATTAATTATATTTAACACGTGTGCAAAATTCACTTAGATGTCATTATGGAAATATGGGGGAAAAATTATTATTTCGTCCCTGAGGTTTTACATAATTATTTAAGTAGCTTTCGACATTTATATATATATTTATAACGTTCTTGAGGTTTGCTACCATCATATTAATTGGTCATTCCGTCAAAAAAAATACATTTTTTCCGTTAATTTTGAGAGGAAAAGACGAAATTATCCTTTGGAAAAATAATTATTTCGTCCCTGAGGTTTGCCATAATTTAATTATTAAGTAGTCCCGGACATTTATACAAATATTTATAACGTCCCTGAGGTTTATTTCCGTCGTATTTAATTGTCCTTCGCACTAAAATACCTTTTTCGCGTTAAATTTTGAGCGAAAAAAAGAAATTATCCTTTATAAGTTTTCATTGACATTATTGTCAATCCCTTTCCTTTAAAATACCTGAAACTCAAATTTTCACCATCTTCCTGAACCCAACATGGTCTTCATTGCCACCACCGTGTCTCTGTCAAGTATCATCTTCATAACCAGATCACTAACAAAACTAAAAGGGAAAATAATCGTCGCTGAGGTTTGCCATAATTATTTAAGTAGTCCCCCCCATTTATACAAATATTTATAACATCCCTGAGGTTACTTCCGTCATATTACTTGGTCCTTCCGTCCAAAAAACACACTTTTTGCTGTTTTTTAAATGGCTTGATTGAGTTTGGATGTTGGGTTTTAGTTTTGGTGGTGATCTGGTCATGGAGATGATAGTTTTTATTGACACGGTGGTGGCAATGAAGACCGTGTTGGATTCAGGAAGATGGTGAAAATTTGAGTTTCAGGTATTTTAGAGGAAATGGATTAATAATAATGTCAATGAAAACTTATAAAGGATAATTTCGTCTTTTCCACTCAAAATTAACGGAAAAAGTGTATTTTACGGAAAAGTGTATTTTGTATGGACGGTACCAATTAATATGAACGGAAGTAAAATTTCAAGGGACATTATAGAATATTCTGTATAATGTAGGGGACTAATTTAATTTAAATTATGCCAAACCTTAGGGACGAAATAATTATTTTTTTCAAAGATAATTTCGTCGTTTTCTTTTCAAAAATTAATGGAAAAAGTTTATTTTTTTGACGGTAAGGACAATTAATATGACGGTGGCAAACTAGGGACGTTTATAATTTATATGTATAATGTGAGGACTACTTCAATAAATTATGTAAAACCTCCGGTGGCAAACCTCAGGGACGTTATAAATATATGTATAAATGTCGAGGACTACTTCAATAATTATGTAAAACCTCAGGGATGAAATAATAATTTCCCCGAAATATGGTAAACAAGAAGTTAATATACTGACCAGTTGAAATGAGTACTAACACCCAAGAGTGGGCTAAGTGAAGCCAATTGATCTTTGTAAAGAAATGGATAAATGGTGAGATAGACCATTCGTGTTACATGATCCTGAATGAGATGAGAGATCTAGCCATATCCTGGTTGTATGGAAAAAGAAGTATGAAGCAAACTGAGCTGAGTATGTTGTGACTCCTAAAGGAGAGGAGCAATATGCAATGAATTGACTTGATGAAGTGCTTATAAATGCACATAAAGGGGCTAATGGAGAATGGGTGGGGGTGCGAGAGACCACCCCAGATGTATGACAATAATAATTACTTTATTTTATCATTGCTCGTTTATTTGGAAATACATGAAACATTGATGGAGTATTTGTGGGAGGGCTACCAAGCAAGTTGGAGGTCGATTGTATAATTATTGATGAAATTTGATCTCGCTCATTTGAGCTGGGGAGGGCATAAAACACTGAAAAAGCCGGTTTTTGGAAGTGTGATTATTGGTTGGCTTTCCAATTGAATTGGAAGTTGCTCATGAATGCAATGTCGAAAAGTATTTGAAGTCCGGCAGATGGAATATCAAACTACAACTAATATTTCAGGTTGTAAGCAATGTTAATAAAAATTTATGATCCCAGAGGATAGACTATCAGACTAAAGAATGATGATCAGACTGTGGGTAAAGGTGTAGTAAAACCAAAATGGATTGCTGTGGATGAGTCGAAATATTCTTTGTTCTTGCTGTTTAATGTTTACAGGAGAAGTTGATCAAAAGAGTAACCCCAAAATAGGCAGCTATTATCTAAGGAACCATAAGAGCAAAAGAAACATGGCAAAGGAAAATCACATTTCTGTTATGTAGAAACCAAAAGAGCTTACAGTATCACAATCCAATGTCTATATATATATATATACACGCACATGGCCTGGCAAGATGAACTTGTATAGAGAGGGTCATGACCATGAAAAGAAAATTGATTTTATAAAAAAAATGTGCATCAATACAACATGAGGCTACCAAAGCATGAGTTGAAAATGGCCACATTACGAGCCATGTTACAAAGAGCAAGAAATAAGATGCCGAGCACCAAGATGAGACATAGAAAGACAACCTGAAACTGAGGGTGACTTGTGAAAGAGGAAGTTGCGGTCCAAAGTAAATAAAATGTAAATCGACCCGTGTTGCTAGAACAGCAAAGCCTTAGAAGGGGACAAATCAAATAACTTAGGCATTAAAAGAATAATCAAATCGAAAGTTATACTATGAGATGTGTAGATATTTAAGAAGAATATATGTACAAGTACTATCATTTCTTAGTTTTCTATATCATTTCATTTTTGTTTATTATTATTATTACTAACCATAGACGAGGGAAAAGAACTAGGTATGTGAGACATAAAAGAAATATAAGAAATTAAAGGGTCGAAAAGAATAAAAGATAGAGAGAAAAAAAAAGGGAATGAGAAATAAAGTAAATATTTAAATCAAGTTGGTTATATTTATTTGCGTGTTGTCTCCAATTAATAAGAATCCTGAGTGCATTATAAGAAAAATGAATCTTCTAAAATATGTACAGTACTATGTTAGGATGTGCAAAACATGGCAGTGAAGCATACTTTATTTTACCTTGGAAACACAAGTATAAAATTTTAATTTCAGGTTTCAGATTCCAAATTCGATCTCATCAGTTTCAGTTTCAGTTTCCGTTTCCTGCATTCTTATTCAGTGCAAACAAAAGAAAGTTAATAACAGCAGGCACTGGATTTAATCTTTTCTTATGAATGACTGAATTTTATTCAGACTTCTGAAATACTGAGTTGGCTAATTGGAGATTAGTTGAGTGAGAAAACTTTGGGGGCAGTTTCATCAGTGGTTCATCATCAATGAGTTTCTGAAATGCCATCCCAAGTGCATATCCTAATGCTCGCCCTACTGGAACAGCAACTGCATTCCCAACCTGGCGGTACCTGAACCACACAAATTAAGATAAATATAGAATTACATCGTGGAAAAGATTTTCAATTCATATACTGACATACAACTCGAAAAACATAAATACAATAAATCCATTGCCTGAGGCACTAAGCGCAACTAAAGGCACTTGCCTAGATGAAGTGAGGAATTCTAGATAACTCTAAAATTTAGAATTCTATATCGGTTCCAAAAAGAATTAGAAAATTTAGAATTTTAGATGTACTGCTAAAGAATCAAAACTATGTCATGCATTTTGGATTTTGTATCCAAATATTAGTTCCAAAAAGCACTTTAGATGATTTAGAATTCTAGACAAATTGTTGAACAATCAAAAATAATTCTAGGTGAATTGTTGAAGAATCAAACTGTGTTATGTACACTTAAAATCCGAGATCTTTGGTGTAAACTCAGTTAAGGAAAATATATTCTTGTTGTATTTCATCAATTACGGAGACATATATATACACACATAAGACACTACAAACTATTTAGAAATTGATACTACAGACTATTTAGGAATCTAACACCTAATAAGATTCTATAAACAAAAAAACAAGTTGAAACATAGATGTTAATCATGCCTAACTTGTTATAAAGATAGTCAACCCGAGAGACTACATTTTGTTTATTGCTCCTCCAAGATATCAAGTTTCCATCTACAAAGATACAATATCCTCAAGTTGATCTTCTATCAACCTTTGAACCTGCACAGTCTGCATATGGAAAACACTCAATGTCCAAATTCTCATGATTACTCTAAAGGAGGCCACGACCTGATTTACCTTTCAAGTAACACAAAATCTATCCTAAAGCTTTCCAATAGATAACAGTAGGAGAAGACATATATTGACTTAAGATACCTGGACATGTTACTGTAAAATAATTCAGTTTGCCCACCAATCTTCTATATATTTCAGAATTATCAAATAACTCACTATTAGCTATAAGTTGCAAATTAGGAGTCATCAGAGAATTGCATAGTTTGGCACCCAACTTTCCAGTTTCCTTCAGTAAAGCAAAGAAATACTTTCTTTGAGATAAGGAGATGTCTCTCTTCACCTGGACATTTAAATACCTAAAAAATACTTCAATGAACCTAAGTCTTTTGTCTGGAACTGAGTTTGAAAGAATGATTTGAGTGATGTAATGCCGACTGAATCACTTCCTGTAATAATAATATCATCGACGTAAACCACAAGTAGTCTTAGTACTTCTGAAAAATATAAAATGATCATAAGTGCTCTTCTGAATGCCAAATTGGTGTACCACCTTGCAAAATCTATCAAACCAAGCTTGAGGACTCTGTTTTAGGCCAAAGAGATTTTTGAAGTTCACACACTTTACCTGACTCCCCTTAAGCAACAAAGCCTGGCGATGTAAAGGCCAATCTAAGGTAATTGCCAAAAAGATAAACAAGCCTTGAGAAAAGGTATTAGAGTAATCAAGTTCATAAATTTGAGAATAATCCTTAGCAAATCAACAAGCCTTGAGACGCATAACAGACCCATTAGGATTCCCTTTAAGTGGTGAAAAACCCACTTACAACCAATAGGTTTCTTACCTGCAGGGAGAGGCACAAGATTCAAAGTAACATTAACATCTAAGAAAGCCATTTCCTCTTTCATTGCTGCACAAGAACTAGGATGGGACAAAATTTGAACAATAGTTTTAGGGAAGAGTTTACTTGCAAAAACAACAAGATGAAGAAGAAAGATGATTATAACTGACAAAAGAAGAAATATGATAGGAACATTGGCGTTTACCTTTTCGAAGAGCAATAGGAAGGTCAAGGTCCAATTGAGGAGTAGTGGATGGCACAAACTCAGGTTAAGTAGAAGGGACCGGAACTTCTGTTGAAGCAGCAGTTGGGGGAAGAGAGTCAAGAGTCCCTAACCTTTTGGAATAAACCTGTTCAAAACGATGGCGAGCAAATGCTGGTGCAGGAGCAGGCATAGGATTAAGAGCAGGAGCAGGAGCACGACATCTAGGAATTTGCCAGATAGTGTACACTGAAAGATCATCATCCTCCCTTTCACTCATATACAGAAGAAGGGAACAAAAAAGAGTATTTTCAAAGAGTGTGACATCCACAGAAGTAAGATAACGGTAAAGATCAAGAGAAAAATAACGATACCCTTTTTGATTCTGAGAGTACCTAAGAAAAACACAACGAAGAGATTTTGGATCAATCTAGTAATTGTGAATGAACATCACGCACAAAACAAGTACAACCAAGAATACGAGGTTCAATGAGAAATAAAAGTTTAGAAGGAAATAAGACACTATATGGAATTTCACCATTGAGCATAGAAGAAGGCATATGATTGATAAAAGAATGAGCAGTAGAGACAACATCAACCAAAAAATGTTTAGGTACCTTCATTTGGAAAAGTGCCTTAACAACCTCGAAAAGATGTCGATTTTTTCTTTCTGCAATCCCATTTTGAGGAGTATTGACACAAGATGTTTGATGAAGAATATTATTCTATGACATATATGCTTGGAAAGAACTAGATAGATATTTTTTAGCATTCTCACTTTACAATATACGAACAGAGGTATTAAATTGAGTTTTAATCTCAGCACAAAAAGAACCAAAGATAGAAAATATCTGAGAGCGAGTTTTCATTTTATATAACCAAGTAACACAAGAATAATCATCCACTAAAATAACAAAATATTGAAATCCAATTTGTGAAGTAACACAACATGGACCCCAAATATCTGAATGAACTAACTCAAAAGGAGATGAAGCTCGTTTATTGATTTGAGGAACTAAAGGTCAATGATGATGTTTGGCAGATTGACAAGACTCACATTATAAAACCGATAAAGATTGAAACTATGGACACAACTTCTTTAAAGTAGACCATGAAGATGACCCAGACGATACTGAACCTTGTAAACAGTTGAGGAAAAATATTATTGTTCATATATTCTTTCATCAACAGGGAGACATAAATATATACAAGATACTACAAATGTATTACGAATCTAACTTCTAATAGAACTCTATTTATAACTAGTCCTTAACCCTCCCCATCAAGTTGAAGCATAAATGTTAATCATGCCAAACTTGTTACAAAGATAGTTAACCCGAGATTCATTTGGAGCTTTTCTAAAATATCTCCTAGCCATTCACTTGTTCTAACGCGCCCTATAGAGATAACACATTATTGTATCTTTTCACGAATGAAATAACAATCAATCTCAATATGTTTTGTTCAGGAATGGAACTGGACTCTGATCGGTTTTCAGACCGGGGGTCCAGACTCAGACTCAATACAAGACTTGATTACAGATTTTGAACTCTAGGTTTGACTCGGGAGGGGGTTTATCAACAGCGCGCTCCTCCTCGGCGTACCAATTGGTGAGAGGGCCCTTAGTTCGGCTTGATCAGGCTCAGCAGATCTTGGTCCATCATTTTCCTGTGATAACTGCAATTTCGTCAAAGGAGACTAGGTTGCATGAAGTCCTTCACTTCGAGTTCGGGTTTGTTACCTCTTCGGATAAGTCCATTTCAAGTCCCAGGAACACAGGTGTCATTCATTTCTAGGAATAGCTCGAAACGGATCGATCAATTTCCTGGTCCAGAAATAAATAGCATTTACCCTTCCGTGAATTTGGTAAAGGGATTAGTGTTCTAATGTTTGACTCAGCTTCTTGGATTGATTGAACCATTGTTCTACCAGGTCCTTGGAAATGCGGTTCTTAAGCGTCAGCACGCTTCAAGTCTCGTGCCCATGACCTTGATGATATTCACAGTATTCATTTGTTCGTTAGTTTTCTTGGGTAAAGGGTAAGGTGGCGGCCTTGCTTCCAAGGGCTTTGATGTAGTTGGCCTTGCATAGCCTCTCGGAAAACCAAAAGGATTGGCATCCCGAAGATAGTAAATATGTCCTTCTTGACCGATTGGCCATTTCTCCAATATTGGCCCCACACGTAAAAGGATTCCGTGGGGTGTGTGATGCTTTGCCATTTCATGGACTTTTGCCAGCTTGGCTAGGCTTCTCTCGTAATTTTGAGGGAACCCGAGTCTTCTTTCAGTTGCCGCCATTTGAATTAAATCCTCTAGCCTTTGTAGCAAGTGGCAATGAGTGATCTGGAAGGTTGGTAAGTATTTGGGTTTGTAACTGTTGTTGGTAGACCAGGCTGCAGGTTCTTTATGATTATGTCCTACCTGTTCTTTGTTCAGAAGGCCGGTTGATCATTTTGAGCGACCTTGGTCCTTTTCCCTCGTAAAAGGGAAAGCGAGGGAAAAGGTTTCATTGTTTTTTTTTTTTCTGCTTGGTGGTGTCCAGTTTTTTCTCATTTTCTGAGCTTCTGGCTTTCAGAAGTAGACATTGTCATCCAGGTTAAGGGTAGATTTGTCCGGTTTCTGCGGCAGGTCCCTTGATTGGAAAGCAAGGCAGGTCCACTTCCGCTCACCGGAAGCCCCACTTCCATTACCATTACCCAATTCGACTATCAGGGCAATCCTTTGGGCAGCCAATGCCTCCTCATTCATTCTGGCCTCCATTCTGGGCCTCTGGAGTTGTTCTATAAGGTTTTTGATGTCAGAAAGTGATGGCCATTGGTGCAGTTGAGATTGGTGAGGTCGGTGATAAGCACCAGTAGGTGTGGTTGGCACTAATGTTGGCACTTTGATACAGGGGATACCTGTAAGTATGGAGGGTAAATGGATTAAGGATAAGTAGCTATCAGGGTAGCTGATATGAGAGAGAATGACTTCTTGTGTCCAACTGTGCATGACTTGCAAACAGAAAGGCATATTTTTGTGTCCCTCCCCTCCACTTCCTCCCTCTCTCTCTTTTTTTTTTTTTTTTTAATAGCTTATGGTCATGGTCATAGATGTTGATGAGAATATTATTCTAAATAATACATATAGGTGCACATGCCTTGGAAAGAAAATTACGAAATAGATATTTATTATTAAGCCAAACTTGCTCTCCACCTATATTTACAATATAACGAAACCAGTAGGTATTAAATTGAGTTTTAATCCTCAGACAAAAAGAACCAAAAGATAGAAAATATCTGAGAGGCGTTTTCCAATTATTATATTATATTATTTAAACTCAAGTAACACAAGAATGATAGTACAGTAATTCGTACCCCATCTATGGGAGTAGGGTGCATAGACTCAAAGAAATTCCTATTGAAATCCAAATATAGATAACGCACAGATACAATGCGCAGCCTTCCCCTATAATTTAATAGGCTGAATTTATGAACTAAGAACCATTCCACAAAGGAATGAATAGACTCGTTTATGTAGGAATTATAAATAACCGGAAAGGTCAATCTTAGATATGAATGGGTACTCCTGTTGACTAGACTTATATAGTGAGGCACACTAATTATGGAATAATAAGACCCGTATAAAAACGACTTGAACAACTAATGGAATTGGTGAAACAAGGAGTTTCAGCGTGAGACGATACTCTATCATTCGGTCAAAGTAGACCAAAGAAAGCGTGCAACTCCAACCCATGTGCCGAACCGCATAAGCCTGAACCTTGGTAAACCAGTTGAAGGAAAAATATTATTGTTCATATATTCTTTCATCCAAGCAGGGCAGACATTTAAATATATACAAGATACTACAAATGTATACGAATCTAACTTCTAATAGAACTCTATTTATAATACTCACAGTAAAACGGATTTTAACCCTCACCGGCACAGTATCGAAAGTTGAAGCTATATATAGCGGTGGTAAATCAACGCAGAGAAAGCTTATGGTGACAAAGATAGTTAAGGAACCGCTTTGGCTGTCCGATCCCACGAGATTCCATCGGCATTATTGGAGCTTTTCTAAAATAAATCAATCCTAGCCATGAGTCACACCTGCCGATTTGTTCTACAGCGCTACTATACGCCGCCTCCTTAGAACTATATCCCTACAGACTCAAGAGAAATATTTGAAGCAGAAAGAGAAGAAAATTCATTTGAAGTTCAGATACTCTCATTTTATTTAAGTATTGGCAATGGATCAATGTAAAAAACACACAAGATATCTCACACAATAATCGTAAACAAATCGACAATCTCAAATTAAAATGTCTTATTTTATGTTCGTCAAGTTTTCATAATCATATGGTCATCTACCATTAAATTTTTCAAATTAAGGTTCAAGATTTCCTCATCAAGTTATTGTGTAAAGATAAATGGAAACACGCTCTCAGATTTCGTTAGCACACGTAGACAGGCGTTGATATTATCACCACCCTGCAATAACTTATATTACTAGGAAAGGACGACCATAGAAGAGCAATTGTGTTAATATAGCCATTATATATGCAACCACAAATACTGAAATGGAAGGATCGCCAAAATAGTGAGATTATATTAACAGAATAAATGTCACACGAACTCTAGGCGATAATCCAAAATAAAACGTTGGGTAGTGCCCGATTTCCGCACTATTGTTTACCCTTGATTGCAGGCGCACATACAAGATAATTACATCCAATGTTATACAATCAAGCTTGATTATCACACCATAACTTTATAGGCAAGGACGACTTGAAACTAATTTCCTCTAGCAACTGATGAATCCAAATTATTTCACAAGCAGATTGTGTCATAACTCGATATGCTGATTCAGCACTCGATCGTAACACTACATTTTGTCTCTTGCTCCTCCATGATATCAAGTTTCCACCCACGAAGACACAATGTCCTAAAGTTGATATGAAAAACAGTCAATGTCCAAATGCCCATGATTACTATAAAGGAGGCCACGACCTAGATTGTCTTTCAAGTAGCACAAAAACTATCCTAAAGCTTCCCAATGGATAATAGTAGGAAAAGACATAAACTGGCTTAAAATGCTCACAGAATAAACAATATTTGGACTTGTTACCATAAGATAATTCAGTTTGCCCACCAATCTTCTATACATCTTAGGATCATCAAATAACTCACCATCAGCTGTAAGTTGCAAATCAAGAGTCATTGTAGTATTGCATGGCTTGGCACCCAACTTTCTAGTTTCCTCAATAAGTCAAGGACATACTTCCTTTGAGATAAGAAGATGCTCTCTTACACCAGGACACTTCAATACTCACAAAATACTTCAATGATCCTAAGTCTTTTATTTGGAACTGAGCCTGGAGAAATGACATGAGTGATGTAATGCCAGCTGAATCACTCCCTGTAATAACAATGTCATCGACATATACCACAAGTACAATCAAGCCAGTCTTAGTACTTCTGAAAAATATAGAACGATCAGAAGTGCTCTTTTGTATGCCAAATTGATGCACGACCTCGTAAAATCTACCAAACCAAGCTCGAGGTCAATATTTTAAGCTATAAAAAGATTTAAGAATTTTACACACTTTACCAGGCTCCCCCTAAGCAACAAAGCCTAGTGGTTGCTCCATGTAAACTTCCTCTTGAAGGTCTTATGAAGAAAAGCATTCTTAACATTCAGTTGATGTAAAGGTCAACCAAAAGTAGCTACTAAAGAAATAAACAAATGAATAGAAGAAAATTTGGCTATAGGAGAAAAGTGTCAGAGTAATCAAGTTCATAAATTTGAGAATAGCCCTTAGCAACTAAACGAGCCTTGAGATGAGCAATAGAACCATCAGGATTCACTTTAATGGTGAAAACCCACTTATAACCAATAGTTCTTTTATCTGTAGGGAGAGGCACAAGATCCCAAGTACAATTAGCATCTAAGGCAATCATTTCTTCTTTTATTGTTGCATGCCAACCAGGATAGGACAAAGCTTGAACAATAGTTTTAAAGATAAAAATAGAGTCTAGGTTACTTAGAAAATAACGAGATAAAGAAAAAGATGATCATAATGGACAAAAGAAGAAATAGGATAAGTACATTGGCATTTACCTTTTCGACGAGAGATTAGAAGCTCAAGGTCCGACTGACTAGTAGATGGCACAAAATCAAGTTGAGTAGAAGGGACCAGATCTTCTATTGAAGCGGCAGGTGGGGGAAGTGAGTCAGGAGTCTTTGATCTTTTGGAATAAACATGTTTAAAATGAGAGCAAGCAGACGCTGGTGCAGGAGTAGGAATAAGATTAGTTGTAACAGATGCTGGTGTAAGAGCAGGAACAGGAATAGGTGCATGAGAGCTAGGAAGTTGTTGGATAGTGTGGACTAAAAGATCATCATCTCCCCCTCACTCGTATATATAGAAGAAGGAAAAGATGGAGTATTCTCAAAGAATATGACATCTACAAAAACAAAATAACAGTTAAGATCAGAAAAGAAACAACGATACCCTTTTGATGCCGAGCATACCCAAGGAAAACGCAACGAAGAGACTTTGGATCAAATTTGGAAATCTATGGACGAACATCACGAACAAAACAAGTACAACAAAAAATACAAAGTTTAATGGGAAATAGAAGCTCAGAAGGAAACAAGGTACTATATGAAATTTCACCATTAAGCACAGAAGAAGGCATGCGATTGATAAAAAAAATGCAGTAGAAACAACATCGGCCCAAAAGTGTTTAGGGAACTTCATTTGGGATACAAGTGCCCTAGCAACCTCGAGAAGATGTCGATTTTTTCTTTCTGCAAGCTCATTCTAAGGAGTATCAACACAAGATGTTTGATGAAAAATATCATTCTATGACATACAAGATTGGAAAGAACTAAATAAATATTCTTTAGTATTATCACTTTGCAGTATCCAAAAAGAGGTATTAAATTGAGTTCACAAAAGGAACAAAAGATAGAGAATATCTCAAAACGAGTTTTCATTAAAAATAACCAAGTAACACGAGAATAATCATCCACAATACCTAAATCTAATTTCAGAAATAACAGGACATGGACCCCAAACATCAAAATGACCTAACTCAAGAGGGGATGAAGCCCGTTTATTGACTCGAGGAACTCAAAGTAAACGATGATGTTTGGCAAATTGAGAAGATTCACATTCTAAAACTGATAAAGACTAAAACTGTGGACACAACTTTAAAACTGATAAAGATTCACAACTTCTTTGTTAAAGCACTTCTTACATATTGAAGTTTCAACATGTAAGAATTAATTCTCTTATCTCAGAGGAAGTATGTTCTTGATATGTTGGTAGAATTAGTGAAATTAGGTTCTAAGCCTTACAATGCACCAATGACTTCGAATCCACAACTTACAGTAAGGGATAGTGAGTTGTTTGCAGATCCAAAGATGTATAAAAGGTTAGAGGGAAAGTGAACTACTTAATAGTGACTCATGATTTTTTGTACTCTGTTAGTGTAGTGAGTCATTTTTTTTATGTTCGCTCCGTTTGTTAAGCACTAGAAAGCATTGGGACAAATTTTATGTTATTTAAAGGGAATTCCAAGACATGGTTTATTGTGTAGTAATCATGAACATTCAAATATTGAATGGTTGCAAATGCTGCAACTGCAGATTGGGCAGATTCTAAGGTAGACAAGAGATCGACTACAAGGTACTGTATTTTTGTTGGAGGAAATTTAATATTAAGGCAAAGTAAGAAGGAGAATATAGTCTCTCAGTTTAGTGCTAAATCGAGAATATTGAGTAACAACACATTTTTATGTGAGGCCATATTGGTACATTAGTTATTAAATAAAATTGGTCTAAAGATTTCCCTTCCTACTAAATAATGGTGTGATAACCAAACCGCTGTATTATTTCTAATCTTGTATTTCATTAGTGATCCAAGCATATTGAGATTGATTGATTGTCACTTTGTTCATGAAAAAATTCAACATGAGATTATCTCAACAGGACATGTCAAGACCAGAGAACTGCCAGGAGATATGTTCACAAAAGCATTGAATGGGAATCAGGTTGATTACATTGTAACAAGTTGGGCATGGTTGATATTTATGCTCCGAATTGAGGGGGAGATTTTTGGAAAATCTATGTTAATGTTTCCTATGTATCGGATAAAGAGATTTTTATCCCTCAAATGAAAATATATCGTACATCTCTTATAAGAAACTAATTTGTAAACCAGTAGACTCTCCTATTGAAGTTAACCAAAAATTACAAGCAAGAAAGGGAGACTCAATTGACCTTGGTGTATATCAAAGATTAGTAGGAAGATTGATTTATCTCTTACACACTAGAGCAGATATAGCTCGTACTATAAGTCTAGTTAGCCAATATATGTGTGATCCTTGCAGTTCTCATCTAGAAGCTCTTTTTCGCATTTTAAGGTATTGAAAGTCTGTACTTGGAAAATGTTTACTCTTCTCTAAGCATGATTACCTTAAAATTGAAGCCTTTATTGATTGAACTGGATCTCCCAGGTAGAAGATTAACTTTTGGTTACTATGCCTTTGTGAAACCCAGTTACTTGGAGAAATAAAAAGCAAATATTTGTTAGCACGTTCAAGTGTGGAAGCTAAATATAGAACCAAGGCCTAAGGTGTTTGCAAATTATTATGGCTAAAGAAGACAAGGAAGAATTGCAAGTGTCTTATTATTAGAAAATTGTGTTTGTATTCAATATTTTAATCATCAATGAATTGCATAGGTTTATATACAAGAAATTCCTAAGCTATTTAGGAATATAAATAATTAACTAATTACGAATATCCCTAAAACTTCGCTATATACTTATTCTATATTGATTTTCCTTAACACTTCCCCTCTAGTTGGAGCATAGATGTTAATCATGCCCAACTTGTTACAAATATTGTCAATATTCGAGGTGCTTTGCTGGGTCACGTGGATGCCATAGACTGAATCCTGTTACAACACCTTTTTTCACACTTCTCTCGTTACATCCCTTTTTAAGGTAGTTTATTGCCACAATCCTCCCCATATGTGATCATATGTTGCTGGTTCCTCCTGTGTGGATGACATCCACCAAGCATTAATGGATTGTGATTTAGTTTTAATGGACATTTGTCTTCGCCTCCAACAGGCCCAACAGCGGATGAAAGAAACTTATAGCAGGGGTCATCGTGATCTTGAATTTCCAATAGGCACTATGGTTTGGTTACGTCTCCGTCCCTACAAGCAGCAGTCTCTTTCTTGACTATTGATCTATTACTTCAATGAATTTTCTTTTATTTTCTGTCTAGAACATATAAGTTTCATATTGGAGAGAAGTCATCGCAAAATATCTATGGTCTTTTGACATTAATGTGAATTTAGTTATAATCAACAGAGCAGAATGGAGATAAAGGATTCATGTAGCCGTCTCCAACTAGTTTAATATTAAGGCTTAGTTATACATAAGTTTCATTATGCAGCATCATTGGATAATGCTCTTGCTCTGAAATTAGTGTGTAAAGATATTGATAATTTTTTCCATGTTAATCCATGTGTCAAGCTTTTGTGTACTTGAGTTACCATAAGCTAAAAGCTATGTCACTCTTTATACCACTTGTGTTGATTGATTGAAAGCAATTCAAAATTTAAATTCGAACATGATTACATGTGATATATTTTTGCTTATCATTTTATTAGCATAAATTATGTTTTACACATTTTTTTCTTCTCTATTCAGTTTAATTATTAATAAAAATTATAGTTTGAGTATTAATTTGTTATTAATTTATGACTTTTTGAAAAAAATTAGATTCATGAGTCAACTAAACAAATAACGAGTTCGGCATGCAATGCACTTGCTAAATTTCAATTCCTAAAATTTTGGGAGCTGTCCTGCAACTTAACTTTTCGATGCAGAAGCATTTCCCCATGGAGATACCCCTAAAAATGTTTATTCCAATGTTTATGCAGAGCACATGCATACTTTTGAGGAGAAACCAATTTTTTTTAAAATTATATAAGATAACAATTCAGATAAGAACTTCCATACCTTTCTTTAACTGTCCCGCAGAATCTGTAGTAATCAGGAAAACCTTGCAGTCTTGCACATTCTCGTATAGTCAGAACTCTATCTTGCTCTGGATGTATTATTGCCTACAAATGATAAAAGGAATTATATCAATGTTCAAGACAAGTCACTGATAATTCCAACCAGGAAAAAGGAGGGACCTGGCTGTGAAGATCTGGGAAAGTCACCACAGTTGATACTGTCTCATCCCACCATAATCTTGCATATGGCCTAAAAACAGTCGGTTGATTAACAAATAGGAGGAGAAAAAAAAGAGATGTCCAGGAGAAGGAACCATCCAACAAACCGTTTAGACTTTCCACTTTCAAATCCAAGGGCAAAATCTGGCACCTGCAAGTAAAAAGAACAGAACTTACTGTTAATTTAGCATCAGTTAGCTTGACCATAGTATGAATAGGGGAATCTAAAATGGTCACAACTATCACCTCTTTCAACTAGTCAAAATTTTCAGTTCATTTATGCCCATTTTAACACCTCAGGTTCAACTTTCTTCAGCTATTAAAAAAACTTGATACTTTAAAACCATACAGCAACCCTTCTTTTATAATCCAACCAGAAGATATTTAGATATGCGCAAGGCTCCATTATTTCCCAGAAAAGATCTCTCAACCTTTTGGATGCTTATAAAAATGGGTCATAAGAAATTGTTGTCTCTTGAAGTGGAAAAAAAAATTAGATTGAGAAAGAATTTTTCTTTCTTTTTTTTTTAAAAGGCGAGTTATTTTCTTAACTTTCACAAATAATGGTCAAGGAACCTATCCAGGTGAATGCCTATCATCAGTCTACTTACTGATCACCAACAACCAAAAAACGATTTTTTTCGCATAATTTCCACTTACAGCAAATCTAAATAGGAAATATTAGGTTTTTGTAGGTCAAACAGCTTCAGCCTTAAAGATTGAAAGAAACTAACATTTTTGAATGTACATCAAATGCAAGAAAATAATTTAGATTAATTTTCAGTTTACAACAAAACAACACAAAATAATGTCATTAAATCCCTATTGAGTATAAACTCTTATTGTTCCACAAAATAACTTAGAAAATATGTTCCACAAGATAAACAGAGTATAAACTCCTATTGTTTGTCAATTTCTTAATATTTTACCGATACATCAAAAGAACTCTAGATTTTAACGCTCAACTCTGAGATGCCTATTGAAAAGAGAATTCGAAATTTTTTAGAGTCAGATAATATCTTGCAGAGATAAGATTAGAATTAGATAAACAAATAAAGAAATTGAAAGTCTTTAGTAATGTCTAAGGATGAAAGAAACTCCAACATAGACCAAGCATGGCAAACAAAATATATAGGCAGGAAAATAAACTGATTGACATACAAGTTGCAGCTTCTATCAAATGTCAATTGACAAGGTAATTATCAGGAGGAAGGGTTTACATGTTCATATTGTGATGGTATGTAGTGTGGCTGGTTTGTCACACTAGATATCATATCAAAGTGCAGAACCAAAAAGCCTGCAATAATGTTGAAGCTCTAAGAGAGATTATAGCCTGCACTTCTGGTGTTTATTTATTGAGAAAACAGATGTAAATCCTTCAAGTTGGAATTTAAAATAAAAAAAAGCACTCACCAATGGCTTTCCGGATGGCAACAGCACTTGCTCATGTTTTGGATCCCGCCGAGCAACATTATCAGGTCCTACAACTACACCTGGGAGATTCCTGAAATTGGCTCCCTAAAAATACTAAAAGTAAATAAAAGCATCTAGAAAAGCTCAGACTTCGTACAAGTATGGTCACATATATTCAACCTTTCTTTTAGGGATTTGGCAAACTCGAGCATAATCTTCTTCAGTCAATGAGTAAGGACGATGATCGTATAATAAATTCTTGGTTTCTGTAGAGCCTTTCAATGAGGAACCAGTCATCTCTACACAGAGAGAGGGACAGAAATAAAAAAAGAAAAAGCGTCAGTGCTGGCTCCATGAACTCTCTCTCTCTTTTAAGCCAACATCTAACTTTGCAAATAATGCAAAAATAGATGCAATGAAACCAAAACATAAGGGCCATTTAAGTGAATACACGAGCAATTTAGAAAATAACATGCAGAGATGGATGCCACCGAAGGTCATATCAAAAGACTGCTATTGGCAAACAATAAATTTCATGATGGACATCTCTTTTCTATGGAGAAGGAAATGGAATGAAATAAAAATACAGAAAATGACAAATTCTAGGGCAAGGAAGTATACCACATCTGCTACAATGAGAAAGCAGCAAAATAGTTGTCCTCAACATTTTTAATGCGAATAAAGCTTAAGGAAATCCTTTGTTAAAATTAATAAATTGAAGTTTATGAGCAAACATATTAAAGAATAAGAAGGATGTATTTAGTATATTCTTGCTCAAAAATGTCTAAAATTGTACAAAATAACTGCATTCCACACTAACTATATTTTTTAGTTCAAATTAAAATGATTAATATAATCTTGAAATTTCAACTTGAAAAGAAAAATAATAACTAGCTTGGCACAATAAATTAAAGTACAAGCATACATGAACAAGAATCATAAAACAATTATAAGATCTGTATATAACCATAGCTTGATGTTACATCATGTAGACCAACACTGAAATTTAGGTGTTTGAAACTTTGAATCTCATATACTATTGATGAATTATAGCATAACTTAAGCACAAGCAGAGCGTAACTTGATCTTCTCAGGATCTAACAATCATCTTGATTACTAGAGAATGATATTTCATTAACCTGACTAGAAAGCTTAAGTACAAAAGCATAATTTATTTGTTTCTGAGGAAAAAGAAAATTTTTATAAACTTTGTAATTTAAGTTTCTTCTCTTTCTTTTTCCTTTGTCCTTTTTTTTTTTTTTTTTTTTTCATATTTCATTAACCCTGACCTAGGCAAAGCCTTCAAGTACAAAAGCCCATAATTTATTTGTTTCTGCAGCTGGAAAAAGAAAATCTTTTTATCAAACTTTTGTTTTAATTTAAGTTTCTTCCTCTTTCTTTTTCCTTTGTTCCTTTTTTTTTTTTTTTTTTCTTGAAGCAAAGTATTTCCGAAGGTTACAAAATTCTTGTCAAGGTAAGATAATATCATTACATACTTTGTCGAACCTTATAAACCTTTGAAAGTCCGTTTTTTGGCAGGCACTTCCATATCGTCAACTTCTTTCTTTTTTTTTTTTTTTTTTTTGAAGCAAAGTATTTAGAAGGTTTACAAAATTTTGTCAAGGAAGATAATATATTACCATACTTTGTCGACCTTATAAACCTTTGAAAGTCCGTTTTTGGAGGCATTCCATATGTCAATTCTTCATGGGTCTCATGGCTTGTGACCTATAACATAGAGCTAGATGAGACAAGTTAAAATTGCATCGAACTGTACAGGCAGTGAAAAAGAGCGAGTATGATGAGATTACAGGTGGAAGATCCGAAATGGCATTTTCAAGAATTGAGGCCTTCTCTAGTTCACGGGGTTGGTCTTCGTTATAGGCAACAGTATTCCGCTGCAACAAAGATGCCAAATTAATCAAATTGGCGTAGAATGCATGTTAATATTACCTTGCAAACATACTGAAAGAGAATTGATACCTCAAACTCAAGTGGGGGCCAATATCTGACAATAACATCATGAGTAGGAAGTGGAAATTGGGGTAGTTTCTGCAGAGAGAAATAAAAGGAGAAAAATAAAATAGAAATGGGATAGTCCACAAATGATATTTTATTTATTTTGCCCAGGAAGTAGGGATTTTAGTTAATTTTAACATGTCAAAGATACTCATGCAGCCCCTAAAAGTTTCATTATGTTAATGGAAGTCAGAAAATTAAAAACTTGCCTCACTATGATGAGCTCCCCACAAGAAAACACGCAACCGAAATTGTGGAAGACCATAACAACCAGCTGCAACAGTTCCAAGCCTTGCTTGGTATTTCATATGTACCAAACGACTTAAAGCATATCTTGCAAATGAAGCTTTGTCAAATTTAAGAATGTCAACAACATTTTCCATCAATACAAATTTAGGTTTCAAAAGCTGCACTATATCCATGAAGACTACAATCTGACGATTTCTTTCATCAGCAAGAGGAGAATTGACATTTCTGTAGCGATTATAGCCACTAATCCCTTGGCATGGAGGTCCACCACAAATCACATCAACATCACCCTGAAATAGTTTTTGATTATTTAGGTGAAGATTTACCCAAGACGGCCTGTAATAATGACAATTGTAGAGAACTTACAGGAAGTGGCAAGATCCTGGACTTGAAGCCATGTTTTACAAAGTTCCTTATACATTCTTGGCAGTTGCTAAAAGATTTTATTACATTAAGTAATAGTGTCACAACTTAATCAGAAATTTATGTAATTGCAGGGAGCATACCTTAAGCCTTCAATTGGTTCCCAGGTATCATCACTTGTACTATAACCCTTCCAATGGACCTAAGGAATTAGCAATTAGTAGAAATCACTTCACCAGGCTACAATAATATCTAGCAAAAAGCCAAAGTGAACTACTACTTACAATAACTTAGAAGTTAACACATGTAAAATTTAATATGTTAATAACCACCATATGCCTCCTTCGATGGTCACAATTAATAATAGGCTAATGTGCAAACCTTTAGTGTCAGATATTCAGTTCGTCCATGAGGGAACAGATTATAATTATAGAATACAGCTATAGAACATCTGTAAATTATAAATTCAGATGTCTGCTGCCTGATAAAAATATGGTTTCTTCGTGCACAGTACTACTAGTTGGAGTTGACATGAGAAAACTCTGTATTCTAGATATACACATGAAGAAAGGACAAAGCCCGATAATATGTCCCAATAATTTAGTTAATCTATCACATACATTTCATTAACTGTAAATAATTTGATAGAAACGAGCCCAGGCCCTTTAAAGTTTACTCAAGGAGGCCGAAGGCTGCTGCTTGTTTGGTTAGTGATCCAAGAAATCAGAGGAATGATTCAAGGAATGAAAACGGGACTCCTGTCACAGTCAGTTACGATGGCAGTACCAACACAGCATAAGAAGGGAAGCAAGGACAAGGCTGAGGGCATCTCTTTTTTGGATAGAAGTTTCGAGCAGAGAATTCTGTTGGAGAGCTTTGCTCTTGGCTTGGTTCTTTTGAATCAAGATTTCTTTTTATTTTGTTCTAATTATCTTTCTCCATTGTTGCTATTAAGATTGCTGTAACTACAATTCTGCTACCTGGGGATTTCATCTCTCCATTAATACAAAAATTTTCCTTTCATTCATATCTGTCTATAAACATTTATTTATTTTTTTGAGCTGGTTGTTCTTTCCTCTATCATAATTTGTCTAATGTAATAAGGATACTTTGCTTCTGATATGACTAATGTAATAACTAAGACCAATATAGCTTCTACATTTGTGTTATTTACACCTTCAGCTCAAATACTTTTGCGTATTATGGTTTACAAGTTGCAATAATCAATTTGCCAACTGAGTACAACAACACCAGTTCTACTGCTTGCTTATCAGTATAATGTAATATGCTGAAGAAGATATCCAAAAGGATATATTAGACTCATAGATACCCTGAACAAGGTCTGACCGTCAAAAGCAAATTACACCTCCAGGAATGGCATACTGTTTAATTGAGAGACACCCCCTACTAGCAGCAACGCAACCAATCAACCATTTATTTCTCAAATAGATGGAAAAACGATTTTTTGTTTTTTTTTTTTTTTTTTTTCTACTATCTAGACTCATACGATCCCCTAACAAGGTCCTGACGTCCAACAAAGGGCAACACTTACACCTCCAGGAATGGCATACTGTTTAATTGCAGGAAGACCACCCCCTAACTTAGCCAGCACACGACAACCCAATCAAACCATTTACTTTTCTCCAAAATAAGATTGGCGACAACGAAAAAACGATCTTTTCTGTTTTCTTTTTTTTTTTTTTTTTATGGCGTACCCTTAACATTTCAGTCCACGTTTTCCTGTGCCATTCAGATCGCCATAACAAATTATCAAACAAAACCTTGAAACTTTCATATCTCCACCAGGGGAAACCAATCACACATCATCTAAGGCAAATTTTCATTTTTTTTTTTTTTTTTTTTTTTTATGGCGTACCTTAAATTTCAGTCCACGTTTTCCTGTGCCATCAGGATCGCCATAACAAATATCAACAAACCTTGAAACTTCATATTCACCAGGGGAAACATCAACATCATCTAGAAAATTTTCATTTTCTTTGGCCACTCTAGATGACTGATGTATTCCTTCTATGTCATCAGCTGCATACTTCTTGCATAGCTTTTCCCATTCATTCAATAGTTCAAGAAAATCCTCAGCAGCTTCATTTCTAACCTATAAAAGAAGCACAATAGCATCTTATATATTTCCATGTATTTGCAAAAGCTGTTAAATAAATGAAAAGGCACATGGAAACTTGTATTTGCTAAACTCACATGTGTTTCTGGATGATTTAACTTCAAGCTTTCACATGCGGACTTATCACAATCAAGGGCCCATCTCTAAAATTAAATGCAGAAACTACATGAAACTAAAGACCAAATTGGAGGTAGCTCAAGGATGAAACACCAAGAAATGTTGCTTTTTATTTATTTAAAGAAAGTACCGTCACTAGATCAACACAAGAAAGTTTGGCACCAAGGCATAATCCCGTTGACATTCCACCACAACCAGAAAAAAGATCTAATAAGGCCAGCTCTGCTCTATAACCTTCACAACTCGGAAAATTTTTCAATGAAGTATTACTCATTGTAGTAGGAATCATCTCAACCACATTGGGTGACGAAGAATCATGTCTCTGGAAAGAATCATCTGAAGAGAGAAATTCAAATATATTAAATAAGTTCTGACCACCATTGCAAGCTTTCTTTAAATCAATAGCGATTAGTTTGTATGCTTTATATACCTATGCAATCAAAGGACTGTGCCCAAAAATGCAAAAGCAGCATACTGAAAGCCATAAAAAGGTATGGAGTGACAATAAATTTCTTAAATTCTAGGAAAAGGAAATGCAATGAAATACTCCATCGTGCAATCATTTATCCTCATTCAAATGTCAACATTTATTTGCGTACTTCAGCAATTGAAAACTAAAGGTTCAGTATTTTTCCAACGAAAGTAAAATAATATGGACAAGGAAATCAAGAAAATTAAAATCCAAAGACTTGCATATTTTAGAATTATGGTTCAGATTCCATCTAGGATTTAATTTAGATATTACAGTTGCTGGTCAAGTACTTCTATGTGTAAGGAGCAAATTTCCAAATTCGCTGGAAAACTTGTCCCTATTTATTTAGGTATACTTGTGTTTTTTAAGTTTCATTTTAAGAGTCCTTGTTGGTTTAGGATACTAGCATTCCTTTTAGTAAAATATAGGAGTCCAACTCACTGGAGAATTAGGACTAGCTTTTGAAATCCTTACCTCAAGGTTTAGGATTAGCTTGGGCCTGTGCTTTGGTTACATCTAGACAAATAGAAGTGGAGCACTGAGAAATGACAACAAACATACACCACAATCTAAAAACATGGGAATGCATAATCAGCAACAAACCAGTTCTAATGCTTTATGATTAAGTTTCATCCAATAAAACCCAGCAAATTACAGTTTTATCTTTTATATGTCTAATGCAATTCTGACCTAAGAAGTATGCTGTGTCTTGATGGGAATGAGTCGTAGATCCTATTAGTATGATGCCAAAATTTATTTCTCTTAACTTAAATTTTCATTTATTTTCCTAAACAAATTCAGATCTGCCGTAGTAGTTTTCAACCTTGATTCTTGGGTTCCATAAACCTTACCCCTATTTTCTAAAATTCCCCATTGTTTCCTAGTGTCCTATGTCCTATGTTGAAACTGTTTATCTTTAACAACACATAAGCAAAAAATTTAACAATATCGTAGAAAACACATCTATTAGATACATCAAATTATCTAAATCAAACATATTGCTTCTAAGTTTGTCAATTTCATAAGTGTTGAGAGAATATATTGTAGGTGTATTTCTTGTATCTCATCAATCGATTACATAGGTCTATATATAAGGAATTCCTAAGCTACCTAGCTATTTAGGAATTTCTAAGTTCTGTCAATCTTCATACAGGTTCGAGAGAACTATATTGTAGCGTGCTATTTCTTGCATTTCTTCACTCAATCCGAATATACATAGGTCTATATATCAAGGACATTCCTACCAGAACTAACTAAGCCTATTACGGAATACAAACATTCCTAAGCTACCTAGCTATTTAGGAATACAAATCATAAACTAATTAGGAATCTAACTCCTAATAGAACTCTATTTACAACTAATCCTTAACAATAAGCAAACCAAACATATTGAGATTGATTATCAGTTTGTTCATGAAAAATTCAATTGGAGATCATCTCAACAGGGCATGTCAAGACAAGAGAAAAATTAGGAGATATCTTCATAACACCGTTGAATGGGACTCAGGTTGACTATATTTATAAGTTGCGCATGACTAATATCTATACTCCAACTTGAGGGACAGTGTCATGGAGAGTCAATGTGTTAATGTTGTCGATGTACATAGATACAAACAAGAAAAACATCGTTAGGCTTGGCTTTACGTATATTCAGAGGAATCTCTTTAGTCTGATAGACATTATTAGGCTTGATTATAGGAATCATTTTAGCTAGATTCAGGAGTAAAGTCATCTATATACATGTGACGATGTACCAACTTATTATCAATGAGAATAAAATTTATTACATCTTCATTACGCTTTTTTTTTTTTTTTTTTTTTTTTTTTTTTTTATTACATCTCTCATTACGCTTTTCTTTTTTTTCTTTTCTTTTTTTTTTTTTTGAGTAAACAACCTAACTACTTTTTTTTTTTTTTTTTTTTTTTTTTTTTTTTGAGTAAAACAACTACTATTGAAGGTGGGTGAATCTCATCAGATTCAGTTGAGACCAAATGCCTAGAAGGGGCTGCCAAACTTGGACAATCTTGTTGAGAAGAATTCCAGCAAAAAACACTATCCAAAAGAGCTCTCACACGCAGTCATGTGATGTCGAAGCTAGAGGAGAAGATCAGAGCATGTATTTGACATGCACTATTTCCTATCTTGAGCTTCTGCAACAAGGATTAGTAACACCGGGTGCTCCTTTCTAGGTAGGTGGTGTGGCTTGAAAGTGTCACACAAGGGTCAGGCTTTTGTATTGGTACTTTGTTTCTCAAGAAATAGAGATTAAACAAGAGAAGGAAGAAAAGTAAAAATATAGCAGGGAATTCAACACCGTAGACTCTGATACCATGCAAGAACATAAGAGATTGAGAATTTGTGAATGAGAAGCTTGATTATTCCCTCAAGCCTATTGGGGTACACATAATACGGAGGATTCTATATCATGTATTTAGTCCCCTAATTAAAGTTGTTAATACAACATTCTAACATATTGCATTACCAAATATATAACATTCTAACTGTTGAGATATCAAATTTTATGGGAGAAAGTTTCTATATTATATTTCTTGAATTATATATTTACACTTACCCTATTTATACACACAAGTCTAATGCTAAATAGCAAAATATGAAAATGGAAAGAACATAATTTCTTCTAAATAGGCTATACAAAGATATTCCTAAACTATACAAGTCAACAGTTCTCCTCAAGTTGGTGCACAGATATTGTGCATGTCCAACTTGCAAACTTAGTAAAAACATTTGCTGATCATCCTAGGTCACATAAGTAAGCTTCAAAACATTGATTAACTTTTTCTTTTATTGTTATGAGAAGAATTGTGATTGTGTTATTTGTGTGAAATATTCTGAATTTATTAGTGAGAAACGTACATCAGTACATCATTAGAGATCATAGACTATATAAGGAAAACTTAGATGCAATCCCTAAGATCATGCTAGCCTATTTATAATAGAGCAGACTTTCAATAACACACCCCCTCAAGTTGGAGCATAGATGTCAATCATGCCTGTTAAGGATTAGTTGTAAATAGAACTCTATTAGGAGTTGTAAATAGAACTCTATTAGGCGTTAGATTTCTAATAGGTTTATAGTATCTTGTATGTGTATATATATGTGTCCCTATTGATGAATCAAATAGAAGAAAATATTTTTCCATAATAAACTCACAACTCTATTAGGAGTTCGATAAAACTAGAAACTCTATTCAGCGCCGTTAGATTTCTAATAGGTTTATAGCTATCTTGTATGTGTATCATACTATGCTGTCCCTATTGCATGCAACAAATAGAAGAAAAATGTCCCTATTGATGAATCAAATAGAAGAAAATATTTTTCCATAATAAACTCACATGGTATCAGAGCCTTTGGCTCGTTAAACCTTTTTTTTTTCCGTTTGCATTGAATTTCCAGCGGCTCTTAATCTTCGTGACAGTTCTAGGGTCACCTTTTTGTCTCACCGCCTACCTCAGAAGGTTCCCCTGCTGCCGATCGGCGTTCCCTCCAAATCCGGTCACCGGATTCCCCGCGTGTGGGCCTCACGCGCTGCCTTTTGTTCTATGCTACAGTACCACGCGCCGGCACGTGGCGGCGCGTCCGGCTGTTTCCAGCGATTAGAATTTTTTTTCTGGCTTCGTTTCCACTTCAACAGTCTACTCAGGTGGTTCTACCTCAGTGGTTACTTCTTTCCGATCCGGCGAAGTTTGGTAGGCGTCGTTCTCAGTCTTTCGTTCAAATTCTGGCGTTTTCAGCCGTATTTTCTTGCTCCTGGTTCTGCTGCTGTTTGCGTTGAAAGGCCTACTTCTAATTTTTTCGGGTCTCTTTCTGCGTTGCTAGTAGGGGTGCTGCTTCTAGTTTTTTATCTAATAATGAATCCTGCACCTACAGATTCTAAACAACTACTATTACCTGAATTCGATCCAGCAATGAATCAAAATCCACAAAACATTAATTTGAAAGGACCTAACTATTTAGATCTGGAGTAAGGTACAATTCTAGAATTTATTTACGGGCAGTCTGCTTCGAAAAAGAGATCATCTCACTGATGATCCACCAACTACATGACACTCGAACAACAACATTGGCCTCAGCGCGAACGAGTGCCCTAACGTTATTTCTCCTGATTCCGCAATTCTATTGACAGTGAAGTGGTTGCGGTCTAATCAATCATTGTGCAGTTTGTTTACACAGAATTAATGGAGTATCTTCGAATTCTTTGCTACTTTGGCAAAAAGGCTAATCTGTCACGCCATGTATCCGAGCGTCTGCCAAAGATTTATCGAGCCGACCACGCCAAGATTAAGCCCCTTACAAGGCCCCTATTTAATGGAATTTAAGAAGATTTTCACGACGGAACTTAATGTTTTATTGCCCTTCTTTAGTCCCGACTGTAAAGGTTCAACCAGACCCAGCCGCAGAACAAATCGGCCGCCTGATGAGTTTACTCTGCTCAGCATCTTGTTCCGGCTTTCCTGAAACTGCCAAATCACAAAGTTCTTCAAGCAGTGATTATTAGCCTCTCTTCAGGCAGACTTTTGCCTTAGATCTGTTTCACGAAATTGCAGGTTCCTCATTAACCCCTTCCCCTTTCCTGATAATTAGTGCCCTTGTGAGTCTACATTCAGTTATCTACGGTAAGCCCATAGAGAGAACGAGGAGGAAATAACCGTCCAGTAATTCGGACCAATTACTCGAGAGGCAAGTTATTCTTATCCTGCCATTATTCCATGAACCTGGACTCACACTAACACGGTTATGCAAGGAAAACTGAATCAATCATGGCCACTTCAGATTCTACAGTTACTTCTTTCTGTAACACTTGTAAACAATTTTCCTTGCTACGCGAAGTATGCTGGAGCTCT